CAAGTCCTTAAGGTCAGAGCTGGATGCTAGATAAAGCAAAAAATATATATATTTACATTTCAATCAAGGACAGTTCAAAGAAGAAAAAAAAAGTTTCCTATTTGAGAAATAGAGTAGTGGACGTATGATGGCAAAACACCACCCTCTGGTTCCCACAAGATTTTCCTATGGGCTTTTATGATGAGTTTCTTCAATTTATGAGTAAAATAAATTCTGTATTAAACAGAACTCGACAATCCTTTGATGTTTTGTTCTGCAGTGTAAACACATCCCAGATGTTAAAAGCATATATTTTCAAAAATTAACGCAAATGCTTCACAACTCATGATTTGTGGGCGAGTGTGTGCAGTTTACATTGTAGAAAAAAAATATCAAAGTATTGTCAAGTTACATTTACCACAAGCTTTATTTGTACTCATAATTTATAAAACCCCATGGGAAAATCTTGAAGGAACCAGTGGTGAAATAGTCTTTCAGTTTCTGATGTCATCCCTGCCACCACTCCATGATTTAATACAGATCATCTTACATATGCCCAGTGTTGTAAAATCCAGCAAACTGTCAAGTACATTTCATACAGACCTAATAAAACAATGTAAAGACTTATACCCGTCTCAATGAAGTGACGCAAATACCCTGAGATGCGACATCTATCTTCTAGTGAACAATCGTGGTCATCATCATCATCATCCACACTGCTATCAGAGGGCCAGCAGATACAGGGAAGCAGCATCTGGAAACAATTATACATTTCTGTTGCAACAGTACTATATGCACATCACTTTAAAACCAAATTAAACTTACCAAAGGGGTGAGTGAATTTTCACATTCCCTCTGAAAGATCTTTCCTTTCAGTCAGCAGTGGCCACACTGGTTTCTTTGAGTCCTTTACGTTTTTGTTTCCCCTGCCGTAATCTCCTTCCAATTACCTATTGTATTGCATATATTAGATTATTAGGTTACATGAATACAATTAATATTATAGTACACCAATGCTTAAGTTTGAAGGTTAATTAAACAAAAGAAAAAAAACAACAACAACACTACCGCATATGATAAAAGGCGCTCAAAAAGCCACTTCCG